TTAGATGACATTAAGGATTTAAAATTTGTATTCGGTATGATAATCATATTGTTGACACATAGGAAAATGTCTTTTTAGATATGGAGATGCATCTTGAAACAAATAAGGATGAAATGTCATGATGCCACGATTCACATGAAAACATCAAACTCTCAATCAAATACGACAAAATGCTAAAAATTATTAAATCTAGGTGACGGATGTATGGAAGTTCATTTTATGACTATCTCTATTTTTATTTATGTTTGCAAATGTTTATAATAAATGAGAAACTGAATATAAAGATGGACAATAGCCAGACCATATGTAAAAATAGGACTCCTACCCACAATCTGGGCAGCAACCAGCCCAGAAAACCAACCCATTATCCTCAGCTACCAGACCAGGAAGTCAGCATGCTATCTATCAGACAGACTTTTAAGAAGTCAGACCACTATCTCTAGCAACTAGCCCAGCAAGCCAAAGAATAACTGAGAACAACTGATTTTTGAAAAATGCACCAAAGCAATTCAATGAGGAAAGGAAAGTCCTTTCAACAAATGGTGCTGGAACAACTGGATATTCATATGTAAAAAAATGAAACTTGACCCCACTTCACACCATCAACAAAAATTAATTCAAGAAGGATTATGGACACAACCTGACCATAAAAACTAAAACTTAAAATTTTTAGGAGAAAATATAGGAGAATATCTTTGTGACCTGGAGGCAGGCAAAATTTCTTAGGACAGAGAAGGCAATGTTCAAGAAAGAAAAAAAAATTCATAAATTAAATTTCATCATAATTTAAAACTCCTGCTCATTAAAAGCTACTGAGAAAAAATGAATAGGCAAGCTATAGGTTAGGAGAAAAATTCTGCAAAATACGTATTTGTCAAAGGGTTTGTATCTGGAATATATAAAGAACTACTACATCTGATTAATAAAAACACAAAGAAACAGCCCAGTTTTAAAAATGGGCAAAATATTTAGACAGATCCATTATAAAGGAAGATGAATAAACAAGAAACCCATGAAAAAATGCTTGACACTGATGTTCAACAGAAAAATGCAAATTAAAACCACAATGAGATGCAGTCACACATTCACTAGAATGGCTAAAATTTAAAAATCTCACAATTCCAATTGTTGGTAAGAATGTGAAATAATCAGAGCTCTGCTACGCTGCTGGTAGGAACATAAAATGGCACAAACACTTTAGAAGAAGGTTTGGTAGTTTCTTATGAAGTTAATACACCTACCCTTTAATCCAGCAGTTCCACTCCTAGATATTTATTTGTCCAAGAGAAATGAAAACCTATGTCCACAAAAGACTTGTTTAAGACTATTCATAGCAGCTTTATTCATAATAGCCCAAACCAGAAAACAAATCAAATGCCTATGAACAGAAGAAAAGATGAAGAGTTGTATATTCACACAACAGAATAGTACTAAACAACAAAAAAGAACTTCTGATACACACACAGCATGGATGAGTCTCATAGACATGCTGAGTGAAAGAAGTCAGATATAAAAGAGTACATATATTGTATATTTCCATTTATATGACATTCTAGAACCTTCTAAGAACTAACATAGGGTGATAAAACTCAAAACAGTGGTTGTAAGGATGAGAGGAACTAACTGGGATTTTCTGGGGTGGATGGAAATGTGTATCTCGTGGTATCGGTGTGGGTTACATGGGGGATCTATTTGTCAATGTGGCACACTAAGATTTGTGCATTTCAATGTGTGTAAATTACACCTCACAAAAAAGGACTGCAAAAATCTTAAGAATAATAATCAAGTGGGTCAGGGTGGGGAGCAGATGGAAGTACAGCTAAACCAAGAAAGCCAGAATATTGATAATGGTTGACGCCGTATGATGGAACATGGAGATCCAGGGTGGGGGTGTGGGCAGGAAACCATTATCTCAGAAAATAGGGGTGTGGGCAGAGGCGAAGTGACCCCAGAGTAGGGCAGAGACGTTCAAGGAGAATCTGTGAGGTGAGAGAGTCACCTGGCTCTTACAGGAGAGACTGTGACACTGATTCTGAGGAAGAAGAGATCCTGCGAGGAAGAGCAGGTGCCTCTTGGAGAAACTGGGAATTGGGGACAGGAGATGCACATGGAGATGGACATGGACCTGAGAGCTAGAGCTAGAGATGGGGAGACAGAGAGGCGGAAAGACAGAGAAAGAGAATGAACAAGAATTTCACCTTTTTCACCTTGTTTCTGGAAAGATACCATCCTTTGAAGGAAAACACAGACTTTCAGGGGAGCAGGAACCTGGGCAGAGCAAAAACTGGGTTTGGTTGGCCAAATGCATGTATCCAGAAGGGACTGTCTCTTAATCTCGTTAGAACTGGTCTGCTTATCTACTGTGTATTTGTAATTGTCCACTTGTTAGAGACCCCGCTTACATATATCTTCTCAGTGTTTGGCTTTTGGTCTTGTATCCCCAGGTTGTATCCTCAGCTAACAGTGCTCACCAACACTGCAACACACACTTTTTGCGCAACTCCTGTGTTTTGTCCTCTGGTAGGCATAGAGTTACAGACTCGACTGAGACAATGTCCCTCTCCCTGAGCAGAGGAGCTCAGGGAGGGCACGTTTCCTCACTTGGTGTACGTGTCTGCTCGCTCAGTGGTGTCGCTGACAAATGAAGTGAAGACATGTCTCAAATGAGAGTGGGGAGAACTGACAGGAACATTATGGCTTTTTCTCACGTGCTCAGATATTCATCCCCCAACATATGGTTTTGTGGGGTGTGTGGATCATGCAAGCTGGTGAGCAACGATGAGTGTCCGAGATAATAAGCACTAAATACTCTGAGTCCTCCGGGAGATTCCCGAGTGTCTGAAATGCACCACTTAACGGGAATGGTGGTTGAAAGGGAAATCAGTGAATGATTGTCCTGGAGATGAGCAGATAGGGGTCCATACTTACAGGACTGGAAGCTCTTCATTCCCTCCCAGATTCCTGAGGGGCTGGGGCTGGGCCTCCTCACCTTCCCATGCTCTCCAGCTAGTAGCTCAGCACTTTGCTGAGACTAGGGACTCAGCATGTGTTTGTTAAATGATTCAACAAACAGGGAGCTATGGCAGGAGAGGCAAGAGAGGGCTTTGCAGGTGGTTTGTGAAGTAGAGCTTACTCCTGTGGATTTGTTTTCCTTCCAGTTTCCGGTTGAGGTATGGCGGGGTAGAATCTGGCCAGCATTGCAACATGAAGTCACCATTCTGGAGTGTCTTTTTCATCCTCATGGTTCTACGAGGGCAGTACTCTTATTATCATTCCCTCTTTCCAGCTAAGGGCACTGAGGCTCAGCGCTGCCTGCCCGGAATCCTGGTCTTTTATATATTGCACCACGCTTTCTCAAGGATGGAGCCCCGGCCTTTTCCCTCTCTTTTTCTTCACTGCCCTACTTCCTAGCGTCCCACCGACTCTATACGGGCACATCTTTATCTCCACACTCACTCCCCAGCCCTTCTCTGGCTCCATCCTCCTTTGAATGTGCCAGAACACCATCAACATGAACAGGTTGCCAGGGTTAGCCAATAAGATGACCAGATGCCCAGTTAAATTTGCATTTCAGATAAACAATGAATGCTTTTCTCATATAAAAATGTTCCAAATATGGCATGGGACATATGTATACCAAAAATTTATTTGTTGCTTATGAGAAATTCGAATGTAATTGGGCATCCTTGTAATGTACCTGGCAACCCTAATAAGAGGCCCTGCTACGCTTGGGCCTGGAGTTATCCGCCCCTACCCCAGCTTCTCTTCCCCCATGGGAACTGGGCTATTCTGGGAATGGCAAGGACAGAAAGCAGAGAGAGAAGGCACACATTGCCTCACAGCTGGAAGGCTATGCTCAGAAAGCAGGGTCTTCTGGTGGGAGAAGAGGGGAGGCAGGCTGCAAAATGCAAGTGGCAGAAATAACATAACTGATTATTCCTGAGAAAGACCCAAGTGTGGGTTTGTTTTTGAAATTCCTGAGATGTGGAGGATCTTGCTCTCTCCCCACTGGAGCCCCCACCAATGCCCTACCCCGCTGTCAATGCTGGTCACTGCCCTTCCCTCAGCAAGACACTCAGTTGGTGAGCCCATCCCTCTGATAAGGTGAGTGGGGCCCAGTGCCTGAGCTGATAACCTAGAGGCCAGAGAGTTTCTGAATATGCTGCTGCTGTCACCACGGCACAGCCACCCATCTGTCACCTGCTCCTAGTGCTTCTAGGAAGGGAAGTTCCCCAAAGGTCACACTCAACCTAGACACTGCCACTCACCTCCCTCTTCACACCACGCAGCCGGCACCCAGGCCCTTCCCAGGAACAAGGTGGAAAATAGCTCTGCTTTACCCTGGATGTAGGGTCCCGTGGCACACGTTCGCCCTACGTGTCTTGTCCATGTTTATATGTGTCTGCCTCGTTCCCCTTTCTGAGATGAAGCCTGCTCCAGCCAGCCTGCTGCAGCTCGTTTTCCTGGCACCTGCCCTGGGCGCTGGCCACACCTGCAGCAGGGAGGGATCGCCAGACGCTGAGGTCTGACATGGGATGCCCAGGAGGACCTTCTGGGTCTGAGGTCCCGCCCATGCACTCTGAGATCTGAGGGCGGCCTTGGGCTTCCCTGTCTGGCTTTTTCTTCTTGTCTCGGCCCAGGTTTGGGAGTGTGGTCCCCTGCCCAGCTCTTCCCTCCAGTGGCTGCCAAGGGTGAAGGCTAGATGCTATACATGCAGGGCTGAAGCAGCTGTCTGCACACAGATTCCCCTCTCCCAGGTGCACAGCAGGGGCAGCCCCCTCCTCCCCTGCCACCACTCTCTGCCGCAATTCTCACCAGGCTGTCCCCCCCAGCTGGTTCACCCCCTCTCAAGGCACAGCCCCATCTCCCTGCCTGTCATTCTCATTTGCCTTCCAATTCCAGTTCAAGACTCAACACACTCAAAAGCAAAGTTAAAACCAGCTCGTTCCTCCAGGGAAATGGAAGGAAGGGCCGAGGGAACAGATCCTTTCCTTACTTACTGTCCTTGATGTCCTGGGGGAGGGTGGTGGACCAGGGAATCACACACAGCTCACACAGGGAGGAAGCCGGCAATGAGTTTCTGTTCAAGTTCTTCATCCCAGCCAGAGAAAGCCTCCCCGGCCCCATCCAGGAGCTGGTGTGTGCAGCAAATCCAGCCACTGAGCAGACTCCAGCGAGGATGAGCTCACCAGGATATGGGCTAATTGGTTAACCCCTTGCAGGCTGCTGGCACAGGCACTTGGAATGTGGCTTTGTCTCAGCCTTGCTCAGCCACTGTGAGACGAGTCTTGTGAAAAATTAATGAAGCTCCTCTGCAGGCTGTCTTCAAGTTTTGGTGGAGACGTGCATTAGGTTGGTCTGGGCAGGGCTGCTACTCCTCACCCAAGCGCAGAAATCAGAAGACCTGGAGTTTCTGGGGTGGTGGAATGTGCAGTGATGATGGTGGTGGTGATGGGTTGTCAAAGGGTGGATTGCTAAGAGGCTGTGCTAGCTCTGTTCCATGCAGGCCTTGACAATAAGGCCTGGGAGCTCTACTTGTTCTGGATGTTGGGGAGGGCACGAGTAGACTTATTCAACACCTTTGGGTCCAAGACGGCAGGGATACCTCTGGGAACTTCCCAATGCCTGCGGGTGGGCACCCTATGTGACAGACTGCCAGGATCCCACGCAGAAGGTAAGACAAGCACACAGGGCCCCGCCCCACCCCAGGACCAGACATCTCTGAACTGTAGGCAACACAGCATGTTCACCCTGCTCCTCCTGTCTCTCCTGATGATGCCCCTGTGGCTTTTCCTGGGACGCCTGCTGCTACGGTGAAGAGAAGAGAATGATAAAAATCACTATAATGGGGGGAAGGGGTTTCTACCTCCATAAAATGCTTAGCGAATTGTGCTTGGGAAGCTGTGTGTGACGTGTTGAGTTGCCATTTTCACGATGCTGATGGGTGGGTACCCTGAAGCCCACAAAATTCCCTAAGAGCCTGAAAGCCAGACTAGCCCTGCCCTTCTCCACACTAGCTTGAGAATTCGAGAAGCCATTGCTTCTCCCTGGTTGTGAGCCACCGGGTGAGGGAGGGTCTTTGCTACTGGTAACAGACACTAGGGGGCTTCCTCTGTGGTCTATAGGGGAGGATCTCCCACGAGTGAACGGGGAAGCAGAAGGCCAGGGCAGGAGTGGGATTCTTCCATTTCTGGCATCTTGATCTCCATACCTCTGAAATGAACGAGACATTTCCAGACTGGGAAGGCTCTGCAGAGGTTGATGTGTGATAAATGGCCAGAGAAGCAGAGAGCTAGGAGGGCCAGCCTGGCCACTGGGCTGCTGTGAGGGGATCAAGCTGACCGAGCTTTTCCCATGTCCTCCTCTGTGAAAGCTGAGCATTCTCTGCTCAGCCAAATGGGGAGGAGGAGGTGGCGATGAACCTCCCAGGGAACCTGACTTGGATGGCTTTTGAGGATGTTGCTGCTCTGCTGTAGATGCCTCTGCCTTTAGCTCAAATCAGTTTGTTAAATCAAATGGCCTGGCTTGTGAAGAAACCCTAGGGTGAACTATTTTGCAATGCAAATAGTCAAATAATTAATTTTTTCCTAAGTTCAGACTTCTGTGCTCTCCCCGACCTTCCGCAGGGCAAGGCAGTGTAGTGTAGAAATGCCCACCAGTAAGACAAATCCTTATTTCATATTTTCTGCATTTCAGGCACTAGTCTAAGTAGTTTATGCATACAATTATTCATTTATTCCCCCACACAACTCTTTGAGGTAGATATGTGAGGTATGTTGCTATCCTTATATTTGGCCTTAGACAAATTACTTAACTTCTCTGAGTCTTAACTTCTTCATTTAAGTAGATTGATCCTTGCTACCTGAGAGAGTTTTTGTGAGGATTAAATAAGAAAATGCAAATAGGGCCGGCTCCGTGGCTTAGCGGTTAAGTGCGCGCGCTCTGATGCTGGCGGCCCGGGTTCGGATCCCGGGAGCGCCCCAGGGCACCGCTTCTCCGTCCAACGCGAGGCCGAGTCCCACGTGCAGCAACTAGAAGGATGTGAACCTATGACATACAGCTATCTACTGGCGCTTTGGGGGGAAAAAAATGAATAAATAAAATCTTTAAAAAAAAAAAAAGAAAATGCAAATAGCAAGCGCTTAATGAATATTTATACATATATACACATTCCTACACATAGTCTGTATGTATATAACATACATTTATATTTACATATGTATATATGCAAATTAGGGGGAGGATTTGGGGTCCAGGAGAAAGCCTCCAGGGTAGAAGCTGTGCTGCCTGCAGGCTCCTCCCTCCCAAGACTTAGCAGGAGGAATGAGAAGCCAGCTGGGGCCCTGGGCAGTCACTCCAAATGTCCTGGGGGGAAGGCTTCTGCTGCTGCTGTGGTACGGAAGGGGCAGTAAACACTGCCTGGGGGAGGCTTTTGGCCCTCTTACTCAGAGTGGCCCAATTCCCCATCCTGTACTCGCAGCTCCTCCAGCTCAGCTCTGCTGCCCTTTACCGGGCGAGTCCTATGTTCCATGCATCAATGGTATGACAGGGTGACCGGCCATCTGGGTTCGCCCGGGACTTACAGGGTTCCGGGAACACGGACTTTCAGTGCTAAAATCAGTTCCAAGCAAATCAGGATTCATCGGTTACTTTCGTAGAAACCTTGGCAGCCTCTGTGCCTGTGCACAGGCGTTCTCTCCGTCTAGAATGCCCTTTCTGCCCGTCTTCATTTCACTAACCCACCCAATCTGGCCTCACCCCATCTGCAACCTCCGTGAACCCCCCTCTCCCGGGTTCAAAGCCCCTCCTCTGGGGGGGTCGGTCACAGTGGCTCTTCTGCTCTATTACACTGCTTGATGATTGTCTACCCCCCTCTCCACAGTCCCCAAACTCCTTGGAATGCTTTTTTTACATAAAAAAAATTATTATGGAAAATTTTAAACATATGGAAAAATAGAAAAAGAAGTTATCTAATGAATCCTCACGTATCCCCAATTCAGCTTCAACAATTATCAATGCTCATTCTTTTTCATTTCTCTCCCTCCTACATTTTTTTTGAGAATTTTAAAGCAAATCTCTCTTCTTCAGTTAATCCTTGCAAGTGGAGATGAGTATCTCCAACAGACAAGGACCTCCTTCCTTCCTCTTTTTTAAATAACAACTAAAATGCCATTATAATCATACATGAAATTTAAACATTCTTTAATGTTAATACCCATTCCACATTCTTGATACCTGTTCCACACTCTCATGTCCCTGATTGTCTCGAAAGCATCTTTTTTATGGTCAGGTTTCCATAAAGCAGGATCCAAACATGTCCAGCCAGTACTCCTAGTAGCCGCGTCTCCCAGCTTCGTTCCATCCGTCACAACCACTCCCTCCTCTGTTCACACCATTTAGTTATTGAAGGTACCAGGTCATCTGACTTAGAGAACTCCCACATTCTGGACTTGGCTGGCTGCTTCCACATGGTGTCATTTAACATTTTCCTCTATTCTGCAAGGGCTGCGTCTAGATTTCCGCTGTAGCCAGGATCCTAGTACAGTGCTTTGGTCCAGAAGAGGTGCCCAGTCACTTGGAATAAACGGCCAAGTGAACGTTCACAAGGTACCTGACAATTTATAGAAGCCTTCTGTCTGCCTGCCATTCGGTCCTCACAGCAGCCCTGTGACACAGGCAGGGCCGTATTGTACGTAGGCTTCTCAGTTGTAACGCCAGCACAGATCACCAAGACTGAAGATTCCGAAGGCAGGGATCACTTCCATCCTTCCTTCTCTGCCTCTCACATCAAGTCCCAGGGATTCACAAATAGGGATGCTCAGATGAACTGCCGAACTCCGAGTCCTCTTCAGAGGGGGTCTCCCTGAGCAGGAATTTCCACGGCGCCCTGGTGTCTCCTGCCAGTGCCAGTCCAGAGGGGATCTGGGTGCTAACCGTGCAGATGGAGCCTGGGCTGGGTGCCAGCAAGGGAGGGGAGCAAGTAAGGGTGCACAGTGGCTGTGGGGACTACAAGTCTACGGAGAGGTGCTATGTGACACCTTTGTCTTTCACACTGTTTGCTCCAATGTCTTTTTTATCATAGTCTAATAACCATCCTGGCAGCTCATTATTTAAAAAAGAAAACACAAAAAAATCTTTTGCGACTTCCCCTTCCCCCGCAGTGATGCTGCTTCTGTCCCAGACTGTGCCCAAGGGTAGAGCAAGATACAGAGACAGAGGAAGTAAAGGGGGATTCCCATTCCCTATTGGAGGGAGGGGCTCCAGCCCAGGGGTCCAGGTGGATGTGGGGGAGAGGAGGCCCCCTTGGTTCACAAGGCCCTACGTGCCCTTCTAATGGGGATGAGCAGCCTTTTGGTTTGCCAGGGCCCAGGAAAGTCATGCAAAGCAGTTAATCAAATCAGGCTGCCCCAGGGAGGAGCACCACCTCCACCTGCTGCCCTCCGTGTTAACCTTTGCCTCCTTCCTTTCCTGTCCGGTGCCATGGCCAGGAGAGGGCTCTATGGCCCTAAGTCTCTCCTGGTCTGGCCCTGTTGGTCCTCTTGACTCAGTTAAGTAAGGGTGTCTCCCTGACTGGTCTCTCTGGCTGGGTCCAGCGTCTCTTCTCTAAGCCACACGGGTCCTAGCGTTACATTCTTGAGGCGTTTTCTCCCACCACCTCCATCTTTGCTTTTCTCTTTCTTCTTGTCTCTTCTGACTCTTTTTCCTTGTCTCTGTCTGTCTCTCTTTCTCTTTGTCTGCTTCTGCCTCTCCTACGTGACAGTTCTCAAGATGTCCTAATTTTCTGGGGGGACACTCAAGGAGATACTGCCCCTTTCTTTCTCGGCACATATTAACTGAGCAGATGGTGTGGAGACGGCAGCCGGGCGGGGTCCTGTCTTGGGGAATCGCGAGCACCACGTGGGCCACAGGAATTTTATAATGTGGGGGTGGGGGATGGGGAGCTGGGGACGTGAAGGATGAAAGGACGGATAGATTTTACAGGGACAAGTGAGAGTGGGGTAGGGAGAAAGAACGTCTTTTTGGGGGGTGGTTCCAAGGGTGATCAATGCCTGCCAGGACGGCCCTCCTCCTCGGGTGGTCCGAGTCCCTGGAAAGAGCTGAACTGGGGCGGGGTGGTCCAGTGGTCTTCTGCCCAGGACCTGCACTGCCTGGGGTGGGGTGTGGTCAAAGGGCAGAAGCCGCCTG